TGAAAAGATAAAAATGAGGGCACCACCAGGAAATTAGGAAAGGACAATCCACTGCAAGACCACTACTCTTCAATGAACAATACTACTCATGGTGGAGAACAAAAATGAGAGATCATGTCACTGATGGACCATTGTCAACACTAAAGTAGAATGTTGAAGGTGAGGATGTTCAAAAGACAAGAGCTGACTGCAATGCTGAGGATATGAAGAAGTGGGAAAAAATGCTAAAGCCAAGAAATGGCATGTATGTGGACTTGATCCTGATGAGTACAGCAAAATCCAAGGTTGCTCCACTACTAAGCAAATATGGGACACACTGCAAGTGCCCTGTGAAGGAACAACTGAAGTGGAAAGATCAAGAGGAACCTTGCTATTTTCACAATATGAGAATGTTTCCATGGTTGATGGAGAAACCATTCAGGAGATGTACACAAGGATTACTACCTTGAAATGAATTGAAGTCTCTTGGAAGGATTATTTTTGAAGAAGAAAGAGTTAAGAAGATCCTAACTAGGGTTTTACCAGTCACATGGGAAAGCAAGATCACTGGATGCTTTGACTCATCCAGAATCCTAACTAGGATTATTTTTTTGACTCATTCATGAGTCAAAGAACATTGTCGCGCTTTCCCTGGATGCTTTATTGGAAACCTCAAAGCTTATGAACTTAAGAGGCAAACCATGAAGAATCATGTACCTAAGAAGGAAATGAGTCTGCCTCAGAATCACTGAAGGTTCTGATTTAGAAGATGATGAAATGGCAATGATCACCAAGGACTTCAAGAAGTACCTAAAGAGAGGAAAGGTTTCTTCAAGAAGTGGAAGCTATAGCAAGGGCAAGGCTCCAGAGAACCAGGAAAATGATGGGGGCTATAAATGTGGAAAGCCTGATCGCATAATCAAGAACTGCCCTTTATAGGAGATTGAATGGAAAAAGGAAAGAGCTGAATGAAGGAACAAGAAGAAAAAACAGGTTAATCCTAGTAAAAGCAACAACAAAGGATCAACCAAAGCAATGGTCGCTGCTTGGAAAGATAGCTCTTTTGAAGGTTCGGATGATGATGATAATGATTATGAATGAGCTCTAATGGCTATTTGAGAATCTGATAAAGAACCTGAGATCCAAGTGAAGGAAAGCAGCCAAACATGGTACATGGGTAGTGGTTGCTCAAAGCATATGACGGGAAGAAAGAACCAGTTCCTTTCACTTGCGGCCCTTAAAAAAGGTAATGTCTCCTTTGGAAATGGAAAGAAAGGTGAGATCATTGGGGTTGGGAAGGTAGGTAAAAATGATTCTTAGTCTATCGAGAATGTCTACCTGATAGATAGACTGATATACAGCTTGATAAGTGTACCACAACTGTGTGGTAGAGAAAACATGGTAGCTTTCACCTCTACAAAATGCTTAGTGATAAATCTTACCACTGATAAAATAGTTTCGCAGGGAAAAAGAGTGAAAACATATATGTAGTGGATCTGTCCACATTCTCACCTAATGAACTCACTTGCTAAAGCATGTTGGACAATGATCCTCTACTTTGGCATAAGAGACCTGGACATGCAAGCCTGAGTCAACTTAACAAGCTACTCTCCAAGGACTTGCTGATAGGGCTGCCTAATATTAAGTTCAAAGAAGATAAAATTGTGAGGCTTGTGCAAGAGGAAAAGCAGGTAAGATCCTCTTTTAAAAGTAATAAAATGGTAAGTACTACCAGATCGATTGAACTGATCCATATGGATCTGTGTGGACCAATAAGGACAATGAGTAGAGGTGGTAAGAGATATGTTATTGTGCTTGTTGATGATTATTTTATGTTTACTTGGACACTGTTTTTAACATCTAAAGATGAAGCATTTGAAATGTTCACTTTATTTGCTAGAAAAACTCATAAACAACTAGGTAATCTTGCATCAATTAGGTCAGATCATGGTACTGAGTTTGAGAATGCTAAATTTTTTGAATTTTATGATGAGCATGACATAGATCATAATTTCTTCTCCTAGAACTCCACAACAAATTGGAGTAGTTGAAAGAAAGAATAGGACTTTGGATGAAATGGTTAGGACCATTTTACTTGCAAGTGAGTTGCCTCATAGCTTCAGGGCAGAAGCTGTGAACATTGCATGCTACATCATAAATAGGTTCATGACTAGACCTCTTGTTGAGAAAACTCCCTATGAGGTACTTAAAGAGAAAAATCCTAATATATCCTATCTTAGAGTATTTGGATGCAAGTGCTTTGTGCATAATAATGGAAAAGACTCCCTAGGAAAGTTTTATCCCAGAAGTGATGAGGGAGTATTCTTGGGATATTCTTCACATAGTAAAGCATATAAGTTATACAATAAAAGAACTATGTGTGTAGAGGGAAGTGTACATGTTATTTTTTATGAAACAAACATTCTTTATGAGAGGCAGGAATAAGATGATAAAGAGATTGGGCTGACAGGAAATTTAAATATTGAAACAACAGTCTAGCATGAAGCTACATCACATGAAGAAACAGGTGATGGAACAGGTCTTTCCACCCAGGGCAACCTGACGGGAGGAACTGACCAGAGAGGAACTGATCCTCAAACCTAAAGGGAACTTATCCATGAACATGTTCCTCAGCAACAAAATAATGAAGGAACATGTAGAGAAATTTAGTTGGTTGTGAAACCTTACAAGTATCAAAGTTCTCGTCCTATTGGAAATAATTACTGATCCAACATCTGGAATCAAAACCAAATCTTCTTTAAAGGATCTATGTTCTTTTGATGCTTTTTGGTCTCGTGTTGAACCTAAAAATGTTTCTAAGGCCTTGCAGGATGCATATTGGGTGAATGCAATGCAAGAAGAACTCAAACAATTCCAAGAGAAGTGAAGTTTAGCATCTGGTACCAAGACCAAAGGACAGAACAATGATTGGCACTAAATGGGTCTTTCGAAACAAACTTGATAAAGAAGGAACAATTAACAAGGCAAGATTGATGGTTCAAGTATCTTGTCAAGAGGAGGGCATAGTCTATGATGAGACTTCTATTCCAGTTGCAATATTGGAAGTAATTAGACTCCTTATAGCCTTTGATGCTTACATGGAATTCACTCTCCATCAGATGGATGTCAAGAGTTCCTTCCTCTATGGCTATCTAAAAGAAGAGGTGTTTGTCAAGCAATCTCCTAGCTTTGAAAGAAAGGAATGTCCTGAGCATGTGTAAAAGCTTGACAAGGCAATCTATGGGCTCAAGCAGGCTCCAAGAGCATAGTATGAAAGATTGTCCAAATTCTTGCTTGAGCATGACTACAATAGAGGTAAAACTGATAATACTTTGTTCTTGGAATAAAAAGTTAAAGATCTCTTGGTTGTTGAGATATATTTTGATGACATATTCTTTGGAGCAACAACTGATAGGTTAAGTAAAGATTTTGCTAACCTAATGGGGAGTGAATTTGAATGAGTATGATGGGTGAGCTTAATTTCTTTTTGGACTTACAAATTAAACAAAATTCAAAATGGAACTATGCCATCAGAAAAAAGTATGTTAAAGAGTTGCTCAAAAGGTTTAAAATGAATGATTCATGACACTCCTACAGCAACAACCACAAAATTGGGAGCTGGCCATGCCTAAAGTCATTACTTTAACCGCAAGGAGGGGGATGACTAAGGCAGGGCTAGTGACTGTGGTGAAGTCGTAACAAGGTAGATGTACTGGAAGGTGCGGCTGGATCACCTCATTTTCATTAGATTTGGATGAACCTGGTTCATCTGTTGATAAGAAGATGTATAGGGAATGATTGGTTCTTTGTTATATTTTACTGCTAGTAGACCTGACATTATTTTTAGTGTAGGCCTTTGTGCTAGATCTCAGGCAAATCCAAAAAAGTCTCACTTGAAGGCAGTCAAGGGGATCTTTAGATACTTAAAAGGCACAATTGATCTCTGCCTATGGTAGCCAAAAGATAGTAATTTTGATTTAGTGGGATATGCTGATGTTGATTTTGTAGTTTTCTTGTGGATAGAAAGAGTGCTTCAGGTATGGCACATTTTCTTGGCTCGTGTATTATATATTGGGCCACCAAAAAGAGAGAATTTTGTGGCTTTATCTATTGCTAAAGTTGAGTATATGGTTGTTGTCTTATGTGGTGCTCAATTATTGTGGATTAAACAACAATTAATGGACCTTAGAATTAATGTAGGTTGTATCCCTATCTTTTGTGATAATACTAGTGCAATCAATATGACCAAGAAACTGGTCCATCACAAAAGAACTAAGCACATAGATGTTAGGCATCATTTTCTAAGGGATAATTTTGAAAAGGGGCTTGATCATTGTGGAATTTTAGTACTATTGATAAGCAAATAGCTGGCATCTTCACAAAAGCTTCGAGTAGGGATCACTTTAAAAGGAACATGTTAGAATTAGGTATGATTAAGACCACCTAAAAGAAACCGGTTCTAACTCAATGATTGGTTAGATAATTTGTAAATTTTATAAATAATTAGATTAGATATTGCTTAGTCTCATAATTTTATTAGTATATTTTTGTGCCATGTGTTAAAATATCTCACTGATGTCTAATGATATTATTCTTATTGTCTTGGAAAAAATTCAATCTTACACAAGAGAACTTTCAGTGAAGAACCTGGTTCATCGAGCTTATAAGGTACGTATTCTACACTCCATATAATTTAAATAACTGCATATGGATCATGATTTGAAAATAGTCCCACTTTATTCCAAACTCCATGTGAACCATTCAGTTACAGACGAACCAGTGTCACCAAGAGACCCATGCGCCATAATTGCATAAAATTTATGGGAAGAGTCGTCTCTTCAAACTGACACTCCCAAGTTGATTAGACTTCTAACCTTCAAAGAGGGTATAGTTATACACTCAACCTTTCCCTCTTTAAATTTATCTAACCCTATTCTCTTCCTTCATCTCTCATTTTCCAAAGATCAAAATCTTTAAACCCTAAAACTCTCTCGAAATCTTGATCTACCTACACTGATCAAATGGAAAACTTATCTGAAAACCCCAAGAACACTGAGTATCCTTCTTCACCACCCAAAGAACGTTCAACCACCCAAACCCCCAAGAAAAAATATGTCAATATGCTTTCACAAAAAATAGAGTCTAGTAGAGAACATGCCAAGAAATTAAATGAGAAATTGAAGGCTAGCCAAGCAGAAGAAACCCAAAAATCTGCTGAGCCTTTCAAGTCTACGAGTGAGGAGGAAGAACATGTTTCATCAGAAGCTAAACAGGTAACTTCTGGGTTGAAAATTTTTTATATTGCTTATAAAATTGCTGAGAGTACTTAAAATAGGTTTGTCTTGGTTGGCCTTATTGCTAGTGTAGAAACTGCTAAGTAAGGGGAAATTGGTGGTAAAAATGAATAAGGCAAAGAAAAAGAGAGTAAAAATGTTGAAGTAGATGTGAGGGGAAAGGGAGAAGAAAGAGTGGTTGAACCCTCTTCACCCACTCTTGTTGGTCTTAATGAAGAAACAAGGGTTGGTCTGAATGAAGAAACAAGGGTATTGGTGTTATAGGGTGATGAGAGTGCTAATAGGGGGAAAAGTGTTGAAATTGGAAGTAGTGGTTCTAGGGATACTACTACAGCGGAGAGGTTGGCTAGCTTGAGGAAAAGGTTCCAAGAACCTATTCCATCTAGAAAGGAACCCCTCCATGACCTGCTACAGAAAGTTTTTTATAGTTATAATCCAAAGAAGAAGCAGAGTACAAGAGTTAAAATCCCTGGAAAGGAAATGGGTGGAAAGATGAGAAAGGATTCCTCTTCTATCCCTGTAGAGACTCCTCCCACAAGAGGAAGAACCACAAGGAGTCAGAAGAAGCAAAGTGAGGCCAACTTGAAAAAGGCCTTAGCTGAAAGTGGCAAGAAAGTTGTAGCCAAGGGGAAGAAGAAAGTTGAAGAGACAAGTGAGGCAATTTCGATAAAGGAGATGGACCTGGTTCTTCATGATGAGGATGCGGTAGAGGAAGTGGAGGTTGCGACTCCCAGTGCTAAGAAGAGAAAGACTTCTAAGAAGAAGTCTCCAAAAAAGTCTATTGATACAGAAGAATCTGCCTTGTCTAAAAGAACCAAGTCTGCTAAGAAATCAAGGAAAGTTCAAATAGTGGAGGAAGAAAGTGAAGAAGAGGAGACTGATGAAGAAATGATAAGTTGGTGAAATTCCAGAAAAGAACCATTTTGAAGGGGATGCTTCTTAGTGATTTAGAGGAAGAAGGCATAGTTCTGTTGCGGGAAAAAATGGAGATACAAGTGTAACGACCCGACCGGTCGTTTCGAGCCCTACCGCGTCGTTCGGCAGTCTAAGGCTATGAGCAGCTTCATTTCAGGTATTACGACTTGTACGCGTGGCCGGAATTGAGTTTCGGGAAGTTCGGAGTTGATTTGGGAAGAGAATTTTCATTTTGGAAGCTTAAAGTTGAAAGAATTAACTAGGACGGGATTTTTGAATAGACGGCCTCGGAATCGAGATTTGAAGGTTCCAGCAGGTTCGTATGATGATTTCGGACTTGGGCGTATGTCCGGATCGGGTTTTGGAAGACCCGGGAATGTTTTGGCGCCTATTGTGGAAGTTAGCATTTTGGAAGAAATTTCATAAGTTTGTTTTGAAGTGCATTCCACTGTTATCGATGTCTGTTTGGGATTCCGAGTCTGGGAGTAGCTCCGTATGGTGATTATGGAGTTGGGAGCGCGATCCGAAGTGAATTCGGAGGTCCGTAGGTCGTTTTGGAGTCATTTGGCTAAACATAGAAAATTGAAGGTTTTTGAGAAGTTTGACCGGAAGTGGACTTTTTGATATCGGGGTCGGAATCCGATTCCGAAAGTTGGAGTAGGTCCATAATGTCGAATATGACTTGTCAACAAATTTTGAGGTCAATCGGGCGTGATTTGATAGGTTTAAACATCGAAAGTAGAAGTTTGAAATTTTAAAGTTCATAAAGCTTGGATTGGAGGTCGATTCATGATTTCGATGTTGTTTTATGTGATTTGAGGCCTCCAGCAGGTCCGTGTTATGTTATGGGACTGGTTTGTGTGATTGGACGGGGCCCCGGGGGCCTCGGGTGTGTTTCGGGGTGGTTTTGGATCATTTCGGGCTGTTTTGAAATAGCTGATGTTGGTGCCTGGTGTTGTGCTTCGCGTTCGCGAGGATCCTCTCGCGTTCGCGAAGAAGGATTTGGCCTCAGGGACTCTGTTCATCGCGTTCGCGAGGAGGATCTCGCGTTCGCGTAGAAGGAAATCTCTGCTGCACAGGTCTGACTTCGGAGGCTCATATATCACAATCTATAAGGAATTTGGAGATGATCCAAAAATAAAAGTTGTAGCCCTTTGTGTCTAGTTTTTAAAAATGTAAACCATTTGGAATTTGGATTTGTGTACCAAAAGTTATGGCTGGTACACTATAGGCTGTCCGGAAAGATAAAGAAGAAATTTGTATTGCACAGGGCTGACTTTGGCAGCTTATATCTCAAAATCTACAAGGAATTGGAGATGACCAAAATAAGAATTGGTTTCTAGTTTCCAAAACATTAAACCATTTGTAATTTGGAGTTATACACAAAAAGTTATGGCCATTATACTAGAGATTGTCTGAGAAGAGTATGAAAAATGATTTTTGGGAATTTTCTTCTTCGCGAACGCGAAGAAGACTCGTCTGGGCAGTGTATAAGTGTAAAGAAATGGGTTTGGCTCATTTCATCTCATTTTCTCCATGGGAGCCGACCTAGGAGCGATTTTGGAGCTCCATTTTCATCATCCATGTCAAGGTAAGTGATTCCCACTTATTGCAAGTTAATTACTTGGATTATATCTAGATTTTAATATGGAAAATCATGTAAATTAGTAGAAATTTTGGAATTTTGAAGAAAACCTAGAAAATTAGTATTCTTAGATTTTGACCACGATTTTGGATATGGAATTAGGAGAAAATTGTATATTTGAGTTCGTGAGTTCATGGGCAAACCTTATCTTCGAGAAATTTCGGATTCCGGGCACGTGGGCCCGAGGGCGTTTTTGTCAACTTTTAGATCGGGGTTAGGAATTGCTATAAATTGGATTGTAATGAGCAATTGAGCATATATTAATGGATTTATATAATCCTTGGCTAGTTTTGGAGCATTGTGCGTCGACTTAAGTCCTCGGAGGAGCGTGGAATGCCGGTTATGGATCTTCGGAGCGAGGTGAGTCTCCTTTCTAACCTTGTAAGAGGGAATTGTCCCCATAGGTGAGTTAGTTGGTTATGTGCTCCTATTTGTGGGGGCTACGTATGCACGAGGTGAAGAGAGTCCGTGCGTAGCTACTATTACGCTATTGTTCGGGTAGTCTAGGACCCAAAAGCATGCTATACTTGGATTAATTGTAAACTTGTTGACAGTTTGAATTTTTTAAGTTACAATGAATTAGTAAATGAATTGCAAAAAGGATTAAACTTCATTTTCTTAAATTGTTAAAAGAGGATTTGCTTTTATTTGGATAAATGTTCCTCGATAAATTCTTAATTTGCTATTTGAGCATGTATCCCTATATGTACCTGCGTCGCATGTATGGTTCGCGAGCAGGGTGATTGTTTATTTTATGTTGACCACGTCGCATGGATAGTTCTCGAGCGGGGTAATAGATGCATCTATGGTTCGCGCCGTTCGACCCTCGGCAGTGCACAGTTTATTTTCTGTTGGAGCGGGTCGTACGCCTCGGCATGATTTGCGTATGCTTGTATTGCTGCCTTAAACTTATTGAAGTTGTTGTTGCCTCTTCATGGCTTGAGAATATTTGGATAAATAATGAAAAGGAATTTTGGGAAACTTCCTATAAAAGAAATAATTGTTTACTTGTTTCCTCCTATTGGATTAATAATCAAGTTTATAAGAGTCCACGATTTAATGAATTGTTGACATCATTATTGGACCACTAGTAAGTGTCGAAGTCGACCATCTCGTCTCTACTTCTTCGAGATTAGACGGGATACTCATTGAGTACACGTTGCTTTCGTACTCATACTACACTTCTGTGCATTTTTGTTGCACAGTTATATGTAACTCTAGTGGCCTACTGGGTGTAGCAGCACGGATGATTTGAGGACTAGGTGAGTTGCATTATTCAAGGCTGCCCGCAGCTAGTATAGTCTCTTCCAGTATATTGTATTTACTTTCTGTCCATTGTATTCCGGACGAATGTTGTATTATATTACTTCTTAGAAACTGCTCATGCACTTGTGATACCGGGTTCTGGGATGGTTTTGAAATATTTTGTATTAATTGCTTATTATTTAATTTGAATTGAAGCAGTTGTCTCTTTACTTATGAAATTAGAAGGAAAATCTGGGTTTTCAAAATTGTCTAAATTGGAATCTAATTAAGTATTTTAGTTGGCTTGCCTGACAGCAGTGTCCGGCGCCATCACGACCCTTAGTAGATTTTGGGTCGTGACAACATGGTATCAGAGCACTAGGTTCCCGTAGGTCTCACGAGTCATGAGCAAGTCTAGTAGAGTCTCGCGGATCGGTACGGAGACGTCTGTACTTATCTTCAGGAGGCTACAGGGCTATTAGGAGTACTTCCCTTCTTGATTCCTTATCATGCGATTTTATTCCTGTGAGGCTTATGCCTTTGTTTCTTTCCTACTCAATCTTACTCGACGCGAACCACTTGTTATAAATCGAGAATTGAAGAACCGTAATGGTACTACCGATGTGGTGCGGGATGTTTCTCTCGGTATAGCTGATCGGGTTGTTATCGTCGCTTTGTATAAGGATATTTTATTGTTTCAGCCCAGTAGCGGTACTTCTGAGGGCTCTGAGGCTAGGCACAAGTTGCCATAATGCTATAAACTACTGTTCCGCAGCATTGATATGATGGTAGGACATTTTCCTACGCGTCGAGGTGGTGAATGACTTGAAGGGAGGTTGACTCAGTGCATAATCTAGAGATTTGGTGTTTTATTCCCGGCAGGGGAAAGGCAATCGGGCAGAGGATGTTCAAGTTTGGGTTGATGAGGTATCGAGACTCGGTATTTGCTAGCGTGGCGGAGTTTTTTTTTCTCTACAATGCGGTGTCGTTGTCCTTATTGAATGTACTAAGTTCGTCGGTGTTATGACCTTCTACAATTCGCCTTTGGGGCAAGCTATTGTGAAATAGTATTGAAAATGTGGCTTCCAAATATCGCAGGGTGCGGTAGTTCAGGGTCGAAACAGTGTTTTTAATAACGATGGTATGAGAAAGATGATTTTCCGAAAGGTGTAAAGTTAGCAGCAATTGTGGGTTCAAGTGCCACGAAGATAGATTTTATTTAAGGCAACAGCTGAGCAGCAAAGGATGAGGAAAGACATGTGGGAAGTGTCAGGCGGTGGCTAAAATTTCTAGAAGGCCAAGTATAAGAGGAAAAGGTCGAGTAGTCGATTAAAGGGACGAGTTCCGCCAAAGTGGGAGAGTGGCGGAGTTGCATATGGGCATTGGGGTAGGATGACTATGCGCCTTACAGAGAGTCTGGGATGACTTGCAAATTTTAGTAATTTGGTGATTGAGGTCTACGGATTTAATTTGGAGTATGGGCTATTATGCGGCAGGAGATTTGATATAACGGGAAGGAGTTGCTTGAATGAGGAAGGATACAACGTAACCTTGAATTGGAAGAATGTTGCGCATATTTAATTGATGTCCACGAGGGGTGAATGGACTCGTGCAGCTGGAGAGAGAGCTCGAACTCAGGATGGGTTATTGATGTCATACTGATTTTACCCCGTGCAGCAGCGTTGGGAGATGTCGGGGAGTGATTTTCACAGGTGGGTTATTCCTGTGAGCAGTTTAGCGGTCGCGTGGTTGGCGAGGCTTCTGCGAAAAATTCTATGGGTTATACAGCGAAGGGATCGGTCGTGCGAATGTTGTTGATGATTCAGAGTATAAAAAGGGGGTTTCTACAGTAAGATATCGAGAATTTTGGCGGTTGATTGCGCAAGGTTATGTCAATAAGAGATCAAGAATCCTGGTAAATTCCAGAGTTGTGTAATAGTGGCTTCGAGCTAAGTGGGAGAGTCCCACCGCCTATGATGGGGTTGCATGGTTAATTACTTGCGGGGTTTCTGATTTTTAGCATATTGATGGGTTATCTCAGCTACGGGAAAAGAACATAGGTGGTAATTTGAGCAAAGGAATTATTAGAGGTGGGCTA